AATCTCAACATAAAGCAGCTGGAGCTACCTGCAAAATAGTGCTGTCAAAAACAAGAAAAGAGTGACCCTTACCATGGATGCTGCTGCCAGAAGAAACAGAATGAAAACAACTCATTAGGTTTTTCACAAGAAGGAAGTGCTACCAACATGATCAAGCAGTGCATGGTTGATGGTCGGCTCAAGTTAGCAAATGGGTTAACAGTGCCAGTGGTGATCAGATAGGTGCCAACAAACCACAACATATCAGTATGTGAAGGCTATATCATACACAAGAAAGTGAAAGCCCTAGGAGACACTGGGTGCAGCAATGCAGCAGTGAGAACCAGTTTAGTATCAAATGACCGGCAAGGTACATCTTTGTGTGCTGATTGATGGGACAATGAGAAATTTTCCTATAGCAAGAATAAATATGGACACTCGATACTAAAGGGGAGACAATGAGGTCATTTGTAAGAAGGCATCCATCCATGAATTGATGATTGGCAATATACCAGGCACTAGACGTTTGGAGTAAAAAGACATAAAGGAGACTGATGAGGCATCTGCAGTCACTACTCCCAAATGTAGGTGTATGGGAACTGAAGGAAGCACAGAAGAAACACCTTTCACTGCTGAAACTTTGGGACAGTGCCCGAGAGAACGTCGAGCACAATACAAAGGGAAAAAGGACTTACAGAATAGAGGACTGGTAGGGAGTGCTGTACCAGATCTATCAAGGCAGTTCTACTGGGAAAGTTAAACAGATCATAGTACCAACAGAATACCGGACTCAAGTGATGAAGTTGGCTCATGAGTTGATTGTGAGAAGACACCTAGGAGCAAAGACGATGGCAGACAGAATCACCAACCTTCCATTAGCCAGGAGTCATCGGAGATGTGACCAGATTCTGCAAGTCATGTGACATCTGCAAAGGACAATACCTAGAGGGAAGGTAGCCAAAGGGCCACTGAGCGAGATGCCTCTCATATAAGAGCCATTCACCAGAGTAGCAGAAGCCACCTGGAAGTGTTTTGTAGACTAAGCTTTCCAAAAAAAGTCTTGAGTGACAGAGCTACCCAGTTTACTTTAGAACTGATGCAAGAGATGTGCAGACTTATCAGTACTAAGCAGCTCTTGACCACCCTATACAACCCCAGATGTAACTGACTTTATGAGAAAGTCAATGGAGTCTTAAAGAGCAAGCTGAAGAAGATGTGCCAGGAGAAACCGCGTGGCTGGAACAAGTACCTGCAAGCAGTATTATCTGCTTGCCAAGAAGTTCCACAAACAAATACAGGATTTGTCAGAAGTGGGAAACACATACCAGTATATGTTAGACCCCAGAAACCAACTGGAGGAGACCTGTTGACTTACTTGATAAAGTTTGTATGCAGCCCAAGACAGGCAGAAGCACACCTATGACAAGAAGGCCAAGGATTGATGTTTCAAGGTCAGACAGAAGGTCTTGGTTCTACCACCCACAGACAACAAAAAACTCACCCTGCAGTGGGAAGGTCCTTTTGAAGTGCAAGAAGTGGTCAACAGAATGGAATATAAACTGAAAGTGGACAGGAAGACCAAGATCTACCATGCCAATCTGTTAAGAGGGAAGAAGACCTAATAGGTGCAGCTATTGAGGCACAGATGGACATTACAGGTGTGGCTGTCATAGATCCAGAACCAGAAGACGGTGACTTTGTCATAAAAGATGAAGACCTATTAAACGTAAGACCAATGGGTGGAGATGAGATGTTCAGAGACATTAACACCAGTGAAGAACTGATTAGGAAGCAGAAGAAAGAGATACAATATCTAGTGTGCGATTATGCAGATGTCTTCACAGATAGACCAGGCAAGATAGGATTTGTGCAACATAAGATTGAGACCATGACCAGGGATCCAGTCAAGGTTAAGCCTTACCAGGTGCCCTATACAATTAGAGACCTCATAAAACAAGAAGTCAAGGTAATGTTAGAAGCCAGAAACATTGAGCTTTCGAATTCAGCTTACTGTTCACTGGTGGTAACTGTGAAGAAGAGAGATGGCTGAAACTGCTTCTGCAAAAATTTCTGGAAGCTGAACCTCGTGAAAAAAATTCAATTCTGAACCTATGAGCAACCCAGAGGCTGTCTGTCATGAAGAAACTATATGGGGTCAAGTTCTTTTGCAAGATTGACAGCAGGAAAGGTTATTGGTAGATCCTGATGGAGACAGGGTCTAAAGAGAAGACAGCCTTTGTGACACCAGAAGGATGCTACCAGTTCAAGAGATGCCATTTGGGTTAGTCAACTCAACAGTGACATTCAATCACATGTTGAGAAAGATGTTGCACAAAACCACCAACATCAAGCATTATGTGGATGACATTTTGACTCAAACAGCCAGATGGGAAGACCACCTGAAGAAACTCAGAGAGCTGTTCCGGCGAGCAAGGGCAGCAGGTCTGACCATCAGACCATCTAAGTGCTACATTGGTTATTCTGTGCTGGACTTTGTTGGACACAAGGTGGGTGACTGACAGATAGCCATGGAAGAAGAGAAGGTAACCCACATATAACATGCACCAGCTTCAATGACCAAGCAGCAAGTCAGATCCTTCCTGGGGTTAGTAGTATACTATAAGAAGTTCATCCCAAAGTACACTCAAGTTGCTGCATCACTGACTGATCTGACTAAGAAAGGCCAACCCAACAAGGTGAAGTGGGAACAATTACAACAGATGGCATTCCAGAAATTGAAGAAGACAATAGGAAGTTTGGCAATCCTTAGTATGCCAAACTTCAACTAACCATTCATCATTCAGGCCAATGCATCAGATGTTGAAATTGGAGCAATACTTCTGCAAGAACATGTAGATGGACTGTTTCCTGTAATGTACATCAGTAAAAAGCTGATGAACAAGGAGAAAAACTACTCTGTGATTGAATGAGAGTGTCTGGTCATCATATTTGACATTTTGAAATTCCAGAACTACCTCTACTGGAAGGAGTTCATTATCCAGATGGATCATCAACCCCTTGCATGCATCCAGGAGTGCAAAATCAACAGTGCAACGATTAAAAGGTGGGCATTGTTCCTCCAGAACTATCGGTTCTGCATTGAAGCCATCAAGGAGACTGTAAATGTTGGTGCAGATTGTATAAGTAGACTTTGCGCATCTCATTTCAACAGTTAATTTTGCACTTCTTTGTTTGCAATTTTTTACTGTGATTAGTCTTTAAAGAGTGTTACTTATGTTTAATGTATTCTGAGAGACATAATTGTTAAAGGATTTTCATTGCATATTATTTCTTTGACATTGAAACTGAACTTTTGAAGTCATATGTATGGCATTATACTTTAACAGTGAGAAATTTGATCTCTCAGTTTCTATAAAAGAGTTTATGATGATGTACATTATTCATTCATCCATTTTAAATGGTGTTTTGCAATGTCACTGTTGTTAAGTTGCTTTCATATAATTAATTCTGTGAATTAACTGGTGTTAAAGTTTTATTCATTATATTGTAACATGTGCCTGTGTTTTATTCATAAGATGCTTTATTTGTAGTCAGTCATTGTTAAAGGATATTTCAATGTAACTACTGATTTTCTTTGTTAAAGGGTTGTGTTGTCTTTGTTGCATGTAAATGCTTTTAAAGTGGTGAGAGAAAGCGACACTGCACCTTAACCAACATGCATTTTAAAAATTTAATAGGCTTTAAAATCAAGACTAATGTCACTTTAGAACAAGCCTGAAGTACAGATATTTTTCAGAATATGTTATTTATGCAAATATGTACAGTTTCCACATAATACATTGGTCAAGAAAGTCATTAAGTTCATTTAGCTGTAGCTACCCATAATTCTGTTTCATTTACCTAGAGTATATAGCTGTAGCAACCCATAATTCTGTTTCATTTACCTAGAGTATTTAGCTGTAGCAACCCATAATTCTGTTTCATTTACCTAGAGTAGTATCTTTTATCTTTCCATGGGAAAGATAGTTGCAAGGTCATCTGTAGTATGAACAGTTAAACAGCTATCTTTCCCACCAACAGATGGGTGATGTCTCAATGTAATGACCTCTCTTGTGTTTCACTGGAAATTTTAGTCAAGTGGGTAGCACTAAATGCTCTGGGTAAGTCTGATGTAAACGAGTAGGTATGTGATATGAAATTTATACAGTCTTGAACAGGATATCAGCAGCATTATTTTAGTTAGAATAACTTCAAACTTAGCTCTCCAAGTGTCTGTCATGGAAAGTAAAATACATTTTCACTATTTGTTTGAAATAAATATTGTTTATTGTAATTGATCACCTGTGTTTAGTCTCTGTTTCTCACAAGCTCGGTTAGTCTGAGAATACAGAATTATTTTGCAATAAATACCTTGATGAATCTTCCATTATTCAGCAGACCTATTTTGCCACTCTTAGGAAAAATCACTGGTATCTGAAAATTCCACACTGCTTTTATTATGAGTTGAGAAATGGATATCATTTTTTAATTCTTGTAGAATTGGAGGGAAAAATTTTAGTCATTAACTTCGGGGGTATAAAAAAGGAATATCACATTTTGCTTTTGATGTAAAGAAACTTAGAAGTCATTTCTTTAACATTTTGATGATAGGATATCAACTACATATTATCTGTTTATGATTAGCAAAAGTATTTATCACCTATCATCTATATGCTTTGAAGAGTGATGCTTTTTATACATGCTAATTTATCACAAAGTATATTTTATTCATTTTTGATGGCTGTGATGGTTTGTTAAGATTTTGTAAATAACCCTAGATAATCAGGAAAAGGATACCATATGATAACTATTGTAATGATCGACCCAAGAAAAACATTTTTACTGTGATGGCTAATATGGGTTTTTATTACAATTATATAGAAAATATGAAAGAAATTTCTCTACTTTACTTGCAGTTATGATGTTTTGTCTGCTAAATGGGTTAAATTACAATGTTATTTAGCTGTATAATTATGAAACATAATACATTTATTTATATTCTGATTCTAGCTGAAGTAAGGATGCCTTCAGGACAGTTGAATAAACCAAGCATTATTGACAATCATGATGGTACTGTCAGCTTTAAATATGAGCCAAAAGAAGAAGGGATGCATGAACTGTATATAAAATACAACGACGAACAAATACAAGGTAACAAAAACTATTTACTTTAAGACCCCCATTAGCTCAGTGGTAAGTCTGAAGGCTTATAATGATAAAAACTGGGTTTCAGTATCCATGATGTACACTGCACAGATATCCAATTGTGTAGCTTTATTCTTAACTACAAACAAGCACAATTTACCTTAAGACTAGCTATTTAATAAGTTGAAAAATTAGCATGATTTTTCAGATAAGATCAAATGAATTTTCTCTGGTTTTTCCAGCTATTAGATAAGATACAGTATAAATGAGAACTGCTGATAAAAAAGAGACACTGTTACGTCTCTGTTCATTAGTTAATTTCCCATAAATTCGTTCCAACAAAACTTTAGCGACACAAGTCCTTTTCTTAAATAAAACTGGTTTATTCTTTCCGAATACAACGTTACGATACACTTAATTTCAACAGTCACTCTATAACAAACGTCTCACGTGGCCAACAATATTTTATCCATATACATTCAATTACTCATTACCTCCCTGTCGCTTCGTGGCCGGTCTTATATATACAAGACTACATTATATCTAGAAGGATCACGAGATTTAAGGAAAAGACGTGAAAGTTCGAGAATGACTGGCGTGATACTAGTCACGTGACCTCGATGTCGTAACACTGCCCCTTCCTCAGTATTGTTCGTTCCGAACAATAGCCACTTACATTAAACCAATAACAAATAACAATAACTTAATTAAATGTACAGAATTACAAACACAAAATTACAATTCAACAAAGTCTCTTAATTTTACGGGACGTATCTTTTTCCGTACTGGTCTCCGTCTCGTTGGTTTCTGCTTCACGTGGGGTTCATCTGCTTCATCAGGAAATGTCCTATCGTCAGTAACAGTCACATCAGTGGTAGTAACCTCATCAAGAGCTTCACCGTTTCTCTTCTTGTTTATTTTCTTTTTCCTCCAACAACTGCTGTAGTCTCTCTTGTTTATTTTGCTGTTCGAGCTGCCACTGTTGCAGGTTTTCTTGCAACTGTTGTAATCTTTCTTCTTGTTTCTTTTCTTTTTCTTCTAACAATTGCTGTAATCTCTCTTGTTTATTTTGCTGTTTGAGCTGCCATTGTTGCAGGTTTCCTTGCAACTGCTTTTGTCTCCCTTCTTGTTTCTTTTCTAGTTCTTCTTGTTTCTTTTCTATTTCCTCTAACAATTGCTGTAATCTCTCTTGTTTATTTTGCTGTTTGAGCTGCCATTGTTGCAGGTTTCCTTGCAACTGCTTTTG